CAACTCAGCCAGTCGATAGCACAGACTGGCCACGGGCAGAATGAATGGGTTGATACCTAACGATATCGGATGATAATAAACAGGGTGAGAAATCGAGTTTATAGAGAGAACGGTATGACAATGAAATCATTAGAGACTACTGATTATGTTTTCACCTGGGCGGAGAAAAATTGGAAGCCGGTTTAGCAGGCGTACACGCGGAATGGGCGTTTCCCAATGTGAGACACCGGTGGCGTCATCCAGCTATTCGGTTGCAAGCCAAGAGTCGAGTGCATACTGCGTCAGTTCGTACGGTGTTCACATGTAATGCAAAGACTTGATCATCACGATAGAAGGATGAAGACAGATTATGGATTTTCGAATACCACTGTCTAGGCCGTATTGAATATGGTGGGAAAACCATATCAGTAATGCCAAGAGTCTTTCACAAACCACGATTACCAAAGGTTCAGTTTTACAACAATTTCGTTTGCCATTTTTTGGTAACCCATTTGGATAAAAGAGCAGAATGAAAGTTGGAATGTTGAAAGCAAAATCAGGAGGAAGATGGAGAATTCATATAGACTGAGGCTGCGAGAATGATGAGTAGATGCACCAGCGTCACTGTTTGCGACACTCAGCGATATCACTCAGTGTCTTTAACCATACGTGATTACTAAAACGCAAGCACTACGCGCAGTCCACCATATGGGTTTCCTCGGCGCGCAACGGCTACCGCAGCAGATGATATAAGGAAGAACGCTGAGAGCAGTCAAAATAATGCTATGCACGTATCTATGAAAACCTGAACCAGAAGGGTTTGCTTGCACAGGTAGCGATAAACTTCCCCGTTGCGTATTGTGGCTTCAAACCGCAGGGAAAGTCAATAACGGCAGAGAACCGCCGTTCCCGTGCTTTGTGCGTTCTTTAAGACTCTCAACCACTTAATTAATTCATGCTACGTACTTTATTTGCAACGTGTTTTCAAATATTTCCTTAACTGACCAATTTGATCGGATGATGGATAACCCTACAGTTAGTTGTTAGCATGCTTACGGTTCAATGCTGTTATCTGAGATCGATTGAAACTCCGCTTTAACTAGTGGTGCAGAGTAACTAATCACATAGGCAAGAAGTTATCGTCAGTAATAGAGAAAGTGTATAAGATATGTTATTTAGGCAGCTACATCTCACCCGGTGGACGCATCACGGAAGAAGTGTCAGCTCGCATACAGAAGGCTCGGTTGGCATTTGCCACCTTGAGAAATCTGTGGCGCCGTCACGACATCCGGTTGTCTCTGAAGGGTCGAGTGTATGCCTCGACAGTTCGGCCAGTCCTGCTATACGGCGCAGAAACTTGGCCATTAAGAAAACAGGATAAAGATAGACTGTCTGTGTTTGAACACCGCTTTCTACGCAGCATTGCACGAATCTGGTGAGGAAACCGGACGAGCAATGCTGAGGTTAGGGACAGAGTTTTGGGTATCCGCGGTCGCCCAATAGAGCAAGTGATCGACCTCCATAGATTACGTTGGTTGGGACATGTGTTACGCATGTCACCAGATAGGTTACCACGGCGAACGATGTTTGCCGAGGCAGGTAGTGGGCGGAAAAAAGTCAAGGGTGGTCAACTAAAGACCTGACACGAGGGTATAAAATTCCAACCAGGTGACTAGGTCGCATAGGTCCTGTTAGGTTCCCTGGCTGGGGACCTCGGGATGATCGTAACCGATGATTAGAGACACTGAGTGATATGGCTGGGTGTCGCAAACAGTGGCGTTTATGCATCTTTTCAATTTCTTTGCAACCTTAGACCATTGAACTTCTCCATTTTTCGTTCGACTCCACTTTCACCCTTCCTGTCTTTCTCCTATTCTTCATCCAAATAGAGAGCCAAAAGATAGCAACCAAAAGTGGCGCACAATAGAGCATGGTTAATGGTTGTACAAACTGAAACGTGAACTGTTGGTGTTTCGTTGAACTTTTGTTCCATCATTTTGGTGAACAACCCTTACATGAAGGCAATGAGTAGTGGAAAAGAGCTATTTGAGACGCTTAATTGTATAGGGGCATTTAATAAATACGAGAAATCTCGACCATAGTGAGACATACACAGACCTGAATGCACCAACAAATCAAACATAGAACCAAAACTTGAAGACCTTGAATGACCGGTCTGAAGGGGATTTCTCATGATACTGTTCAAGATATCTTTTGCGCAGCACTACCTTGTGCGCGAGGTTTCTGATTACAAAGTTCTGACTAGGTTTACTTCAGTCAGTTAGGACAACCGCAAGGCGTTTAGATCTCCCCAAGTCCCAGGCCGTATATGATTTGTCATTCGTTGCCTCGGGGGTTGAGAGCAAGTTACGATAAGTGCGATGGCCGGGCGGGGAAGCCCAGTCATATACACACGCACACACCAGGTCCTCGTGACAGTACGATTTGCCCATGTGATTGTTTGTCATAACAATGATATGTCGTAATAATGAAACGAAAGAGCTCCGTGATATTGAATAGATATACTGTCCGTCACTAATGTCGTGTGGCTGTCTCCCCGTTTAACTCCAAAGTCCGCAATATTCTAGGGACAGTGATCCAAAGCACGTGATCGCTAGCTATTTCATCCGTTTTAGGATTTGGTAGCGAACATCTGATCACTGAAAGCTGTAAGTGCACAGTTGCAAATAACTTAAGCGTTGCCCGAATCAATTGGTTTGCAGCTATTTTGGATCCACCTAAACTGTCATCTAATATTTGAGTGACGCGCAGATACCAGCTGGAGTTCACTTCTAGGCAACAAGAATTTGGCAACTTAAGTAATTTCCTTGATCTGGGAAACATAGTAGTATTCCGCCCACACAAAATCATGAAGCTTTCTCTTTTTATAAAGATTAGTGTACTATGGTTTTTTGGCACAGTCTGGATTCAGACGTGTGAAATACAATAACCTAAATAAACTGAACACGTTTAAGAAAAGAATTATCTCAAATTGGTGCTCCCTGGTAACAATCACAGCATATAGCAGCAACTTTCCTGGAGTGCAATACGCTCTAAAAGATGATGAATTTCTAGGAATAACTACTTTAATGCCACTAAAATAGTGAACCAATGATGCACAATCCAAAGTTTTGAAACATTGTCGGTGTATCCAAATGTTCACTTTCAACTCCTAGCAAAGTAAAAAATGCCCAGCACTTCATAGTTTTTATTTATTACATATACCTTTTGTGTGATGAGTAGCAGGCGGGGTGAACCCCATAGTTGCGAAGACCTTCCCCATTCATTGATGGAAACCGGTAACCTAAGTCCCGTAACTTGAAGTAGCGAACCATATGAGGCCGCATTAGAATGGATTGGTATAGAACCGGATGACAGCAAAGCTGCCTACCACAAAAGTTGGGTGTAGGTATTGGGGCTCGAACCACGGGGTCCAAAGCACGCCGGTAACAACGACTAAATCACTGGCGAATTCACGTTTTATGCTGGATCGGTTATTCTCCCATTCTGTAACTGTTTTTCGGATCATTTCGAATCGCTGTTCGTTTTGCCTTTTACCCACACACATTGGCTAATACGACGGACTCTTGTAAGAACCTTCACTGAATCAAAAGCAATCGCCAAGGCAGCATAAATGCCCACTTCTGATGTCATCTGTAGGTTCCTTATTGTGAGATAAGTGCAGACACACATCGCTATTCAAGAGCAATATCCACTCACGTTTGAGTGACATAATGTTATATTGCAGTCTTGAGAAATTGGTTTCGTGAGATAGTTCTTCATAAATCGGAAGATATGGTTTTCAGTGTCACCAGACTTGAATTCATTAGACTAATTGTAGGAGTTATGTGGGGATAAAATTGAATCATCCCGAACCAGAGACATTGGAGGACAACCTTACAACCACTTGCAATGTGATCCCGTCATTCGAGTTGGAATCACCACGGGAACAGTTTATCCCAGTGGAGGAGGAACGTTTGTGTCACGGTAAAAAGACGTTTTTGACCGGCTTATCAACAAAGTTTCAGTTTGTACAACCATTAACCATGCTCTATTGTGCGCCACTTTTGGTTGCTATCTTTTGGCTCTCTATTTGGATGAAGAATAGGAGAAAGACAGGAAGGGTGAAAGTGGAGTCGAACGAAAAATGGAGAAGTTCAATGGTCTAAGGTTGCAAAGAAATTGAAAAGATGCATAAACGCCACTGTTTGCGACACCCAGCCATATCACTCAGTGTCTCTAATCATCGGTTACGATCATCCCGAGGTCCCCAGCCAGGGAACCTAACAGGACCTATGCGACCTAGTCACCTGGTTGGAATTTTATACCCTCGTGTCAGGTCTTTAGTTGACCACCCTTGACTTTTTTCCGCCCACTACCTGCCTCGGCAAACATCGTTCGCCGTGGTAACCTATCTGGTGACATGCGTAACACATGTCCCAACCAACGTAATCTATGGAGGTCGATCACTTGCTCTATTGGGCGACCGCGGATACCCAAAACTCTGTCCCTAACCTCAGCATTGCTCGTCCGGTTTCCTCACCAGATTCGTGCAATGCTGCGTAGAAAGCGGTGTTCAAACACAGACAGTCTATCTTTATCCTGTTTTCTTAATGGCCAAGTTTCTGCGCCGTATAGCAGGACTGGCCGAACTGTCGAGGCATACACTCGACCATTCACGGATGTCACTTAGAGGAGCTAGAAAAATCATTATTCTAAATTAACTACATCTTGCTGGTTATGACAGTCGTCACCAGCTGCGATCGGCATCGAGATGTGTTGGATACCTTGGAAGTTGGATCCTACGCGAAAAGCGACTGATTTGATTGACTGAACACCGCCACTCAATGGATCGAGATTCCTACAAACCGCTTAGCTACCTTTGGGCTTGGGTTAGCTGAAGGTTTTAGCATTGAATATCCTGAGAAAAAATCCTTCGCTTCGTTTGAACAACCTGCCAGTATTCCACCCACAACTAAATTATTATCTGATTTCTCTGTTATAAAGATTTTCTTGCCGTATTTTCCTTAGCGGTCTTGACTTACGTAAATGAAAAATATGTTGATAACAAAAAGCATGAAACACTCAATCAAAAACTGAATACAGTACTCACCTTCCGACTCCTTAGTGTTACGATCTTGTTTGCCATAAAACCGATCGTTTTCGCATAAGGTAGTTAAATCGTAAAGCTTAACAAGACCGCATTCCGGCTCTTTGACCAACCAGTAGGTGTGACCTTCTTGAGTCGCGTTGCGCTTAAGAAACATGATGATATTCTGTACGATCCGGTAGATCTGTTTGGTCTCGAACCCGGCAATCGCCGGTACATCACACGTTTTGTACAACTCGTACTCCTGCATCACAATCCCCTCGTGATGATAACACATAGCTACTTCAGGCACTTCGTTCAAAATGTTCTCCAGCCAAATATCAATTCCAGTTAGCACATTTATGCTCTCGTGCATAGGACTCAACTTCAAGCTGATACACGGGTGTTTTGGCGTCCCGAAAATAGCCAAATCTGAGCCTACTAAAAAACTTAAATCTTGCAGTTGCCACTTTGCAGTGTGTAAGAATTCGTCCGGGTTGGCAGTCCACGAACGCGCTGAATTTCCTTTCAATGGCGAATGATACCCTATTGATTTTGACAAAGGATCCTCAGACGAAGTCAACTGACTCCGACTATTTTTTCCGTCTGTTGGTTCCGAATCCCATTCAGAACCAGAATCGTTCGGGCTTGGCGCGGGAAGACTTTTGTGCAACGTTTTCACATCAAAAGGTTGATCGGAACTCAGCTTCAGACCGACGTGAGGAGACTGATTCACACTAAAATACACTGGTTGATAAGAAACAAAAAGAAGGCTCACGTGTGATAGAGGAATTTGATGTACAAATCCCGAAGAATGAGTGCATTACGAGAGAATGATTCCGCACAGAGAAATATATTTTTCTTTGAGAGGAATTTACGCAACCAATGCCAGTCACGCTAAACGGTGAAAAGTGGAACAAAATAGAAATATGAACGCCATCATACCGACTGCTCTCCCGCTAGCAAAAACGAATCAATATCAAACTCATCAAGAAGCCAGGTGTTTCCGATTCGGTGAACCATCACTGAAGTCCGTCTGGTGGACGGTATGGCGATTTTGGCCAACGCTTTCAAACTCTAAACTGCGCATAAATAAGCAGTTCAAATGAACTTACTCGTATTCCACTAATTACGTCCAAAGAATCCATAGTCTTAAGGAAGCGGTTTGCAATGGTAAATCTGCACTGATCACTCTTGAAAGTTCAATTTAGAACGTACCCAGAAAATGGTGACTTTAATGCGTCCGACATTGTGGCGTGGAAAATAAGTTTTTCTATGCAAGAACGCTTATTTAAGTAGTTCTGCGGCATTCTTTGCAGGTCAAAACCCTCATGAAGCGCGGCAATGTCGTTCAGCTGACCACTTTTAAGTTGTAAGATGGATTTTTCCATGCTCTCGGCATCACCAGCTTCAACCTCTTCGAATATTCTTTGTTTGTCATCCATGGTTGCAACTGTGGGAGAACGATGCGCAAAGATTGAACAATTAATTTTTAAAAAAATGCTCATCCAAAAAACCAACAGTGATGAATGGACGACAAAATTCATTTCCCAAGTATAAGAATAACTTATTTGTTTTATAAAGAGAAATATCTAAATGTACAGAGGAGCACAGCTGTATGTCACTGAGTGCGTCCCCAGGGTAACTTTTGTGTCCGCCAGTCTATCATCGAATCTTATCTTAAGAGACTTCTCCCAACATTTTCTGGGCATGCGTTCATCGGAAGCGCAAGGAAGTTGCATTGACTAATAGAAAAGCGTGCACGACTTACGGGGTCGCGCGCAGAGCAGATATTTTAAAAATGGAAAATATGGGAGCAGCAATGGAGAAAATGGACCAATCACATTGCCGTATTCTCTCCTTTGCCTTGGTTTCTACCGACCGAGTAATATCGAGAAAACACTGGAGAATGCCCACGGTCGCAAATGGTCCAAATTCATGTTCTATCCATTTCTATGCCACACCTGAGCTAGCGGGGCCTTTTTGTGGTTTTCCATTAGGTTGCCGGTGATCATCTCCGACTATCATCTCGTGACTATAGGGTTCGCCCGACTGCTGTTCATTTTACACACTGGGGTGTAATAAAAAAGATTTTACGGGAATTTTCAGGAAAAATTAGCTTGTTCATAATAGGAATGGCGACCAATTTTCTATTAACTGTGAATAAGGTGGGCTTAGATTCACTGAATAAATGGCAGCAGACACTGATA